AATTTCCAGTTTTTTTTTTTACTTTTGAAACATGACCCTACATGTCTTTCTGTAATTGCTATTTCATATTCTCGATAGTTTCCTGCACTGTTACCACTCTGAATAGAAATCAGCTGCGTTCCAATAGACCGATAGAGTTGTACAAGAAATCGATATTCTGCACATTATTAAATTATTGAAACATCACATATCTATGTTACGCTGATTTTAATTTTCAATCTACGAAAATAAATTGTCTCTGACAACTAACGTCCTCGCACACATACATATTTCTTGTCATAAAATAAATGGTTTAGTATGTTAACAAATCATAATAAAATCTGATTTGAAATGAATGAAATTCACCTACCAATTGATGACCAGAGTGATATACAAAGTGAATCATAAATAACATTTCGATAAATAAATGAGATATCCTCGTCAATTATCTTTTATAACAACTGAAATTTTTACCAGTAAGAAAAATCTATTCAAAACTTTTTCTAAGCAAAAAACTCCTTAACAAGTACGCTATTAAAATGTTTTATATAAAAAATATTATATAAGCAAGGACAGAGAAAATCTTTAGAACTAGCTAACTATTCAAGGCAGAAATATTTAAAGAAGCCTTCTCTTACTACGTAGTAAAAATCTTAGTTTTTATGATTGACAACTGACTGAGATCGTGATGTTATTTACAGAGGTGCAGAATCTACCCGTGTGCGCGTACGGCCGTGTGGGGAAAATTTTGCAAACCTAAGAATCAGGGGAAATTTTTGGAAAAATATTTTTTCTTCTAAGCGTGCAGGAACAAGTATTTTTCCAAATGAATCTTGTTTTATTTATATGTGCATCGATCATATCATGCATCTCTCTTCTTTTATTTTATGTAAATTTTGAAAGAATCATCCATTTCTTACTCACGGTTTCAGTATATTCTTCTTTGTTTGACGCTGATGATGCGTCGCACTACTGTTTATCTTTCGCTCTTTCTTGGGCGTAACTATGATGCAAAAACGGCTATTTGTTTACGATAGTGGTATCTATATATCGTATGCTTATATTGGATTTTATTACGAATAGGGTATAGGCGTCTTGCGGTGCACCGGTCGAAGAAAACGATCAGTAAACAGTCGTATACGATACAAATACGGTCCGTTTTGCGTGCCGTATTTTCCCGTATAACAGGGGCAGTAATACGGCCTTATGTTCTATTGAATACGATAATATTACACCGACTTTACGAGGTTTTACGGCTGATATATGATGTCCGTGTATGGCCGTAATACTGTCCCTGCTAAAACGTCTTAATTAGGCTTAAAACGGCCGTTTTACGATGGAATACGATGCAAAAACGACCGTTTACGGTAATGTTACACTGGTTTGTGGTGGTCCGTTTTGATCGACCTGGGTGGAATTCATTCTTAATTTTGCAACGGCTATTCGTGATTGGCGCCCCAGAGGGACGCCGACGAACGACTAGCTGCTCACCTGGATATCCCGTTGTTTCATTGCGTACGAAAATTTTATTATTTAAGCAAACATGGTTTTGGTGAATGTTGCACTAAGGTCCCTTTCAACAAACAGTTGAAAATAACTACATGTCTGTATTTTGGGTATAAACACTAAGTCTTTGAAGACTTTTTTCGAAGTCTTCAGTTTATACTTGATACGTCAACTTTTATTGTAGCACGAAGAATTTATTCAAACTTAACACATGAACTTCTAGATTAGCGCATCTACGAACGTTCGCAAACTGTGCAAGTACTCAGAAATCGTGTCTTATTCTTCTCAATATTGTGAATAATTTTTTTCATATGTAGAGGAAACTGAATTAAATTAGTCGCATAACAGTTGTTTTTGGCTTTCTTGAAAATGCTCTTTGTTTTCATCTAATAATTGTATAATGAAGCGAAGCTTGCAATCAATCATGCAGTGTTTAAAAAGATCACGTTCACCGCACATATACAACGAAACTAGTGAAGGCGGCTAGTCGTGAATGGCGCCGACGAACGACTAGCCGCTCAGTTAAAAATCTGTTGTGATTATAAGACTACAGGTCTTGCAAATTTATTGAATAGTTACACATTGTCTCCATCAGGAAAGTTGAAAAAATTTTCGAAAATAGGTGATATCTTGAAGTTCTTCCGAAGACAGGTCGTGAAATAATTGGTCAAGTCGTGTGAAATATTTGAAATTTATATTTGTCGTAATTATCTTAATAAGTTTAATTTTTCCTGATTGCGAGTGGATTTGATTCACAAGATGTAAATGTTAGATTTATCTATCTGTGAACGTGCGCGAGGGAATGAATATATTCACTCTGTTATCAAACTAATCGAAATTTTTGGAAGCATAGCTTCAGCTGTAGCAGATCGGATGCACTTAACTTGACTATTGGCATATAGTATTAATAAGTAGTAATTAAATGCCGTTTTCTTGGTGATACTACCAAGCAAGTTTTCTATTTATGTTCGGTTATCAATCGTGTTTCCATGAAAATCATTTCAAAGCTATAAAATGTGAAGTCGCTCAGCTACATAGTTTTGGATAGCTACGTTCTACATGACTACATCCTTTCAGTAGAGGGTTGGTGACGCTAACGTCGGGTTACCTTGTTTTCTATAAAAAAATATCTATTTTCCATTCAATTTATTTCTCAGTTTGACTGAAAATTGAGTTAATTTCTAGCCATTCTTTCTGACAAAACTTCAGTTATTAATCCTTCTCGAGTAAATTATAGTCACATAATCATAGTAATCTTTTCCACTAATATATAGTTGAACAGAGCAATCTTTACTGTATTGACTCATCTAATTTTAATTTAATTTAGTTATAGGGCTTTATAGGTAAATTTGAGATCATGCGAATAGTATCGAAAATCTAGTGGTGCAAAATTGTCTAAAACTTCAACAGTAAAGTTTAGCTTGCTTCTTCAATTTAAAAGTTTCATTTAATACTTTGTGCAATCTTAAGTTGGACGAATATCTTCCATCTAAAATTATTTTTGTAACAATCGGATCTTATCTGAGTGAAATGTGAGAGCGCAAAAATTGTATTTAACCAATTATAGACATGTTTTGGCATGCTTATCAAGGTGCAAAAACATCAAATGAGAACTACAGGGAGGTAGCGTAGTCAGTGTTTTACCAAATCATATAGAAATTAAACACTACTGATCTTTCGTTGAAATACAACAAACTGAAGATAACTAGTAAAAATAAGTAAATTATCCTGTACTATTACGTGCATTCGTTTTGATGAGTTTCCTTTTGTTGAATGTTCTTTCTGTTGTAGTGGATGATATTAGGAGTGTATCCTATTAGTGCCACTAGCTGATAGAATTTCAAACAATCTTAATATGCAAGTAAATCGAAAAAATTTCAAAGTTTTTATAAAGCATTTTTTCTTATTGGTGGGTGGGCAAAGTTACTCGGTGGGAGGGCGGCGCCCACCCCTAGATGCGCCACTACTAGGAATAAACCAACACGGATAGAGAAAGGTCCTTCGAGATATAGAAAGGCGCCTCATCAAAAACGAAAGATTCAAAGAAAGGTCCGGTAGCATTAAGAAGAAATTCGTATAACCTAGATTTGATAAATGCGCTGTCCTTTTGCTCGATTAGTAATATCCTTTATAACTTCAAAGGGCTTTTCGTAAAGTGGATATTATCTGGATCTTTGCCAGCCCTCATTCATTTCACGTGTGCGTTTCATTCAAGACTTGTCTTTTTCTTTAATATTTCATTTTTGATGATGATTTTTTCCTCTTTTTAATTATTCTTTGACATCCATTTTTCTCGAAACTAGTTATGTTACACACTTGGATAATTATGTTAGTTTTTGGTTTGTCTCTTTTTTCTTTTGAGGGTGATGTATTTCATTTCAATAAGATATACGAGAAGGACATAGATATGCATTAATGAACGCAAGGACAGCAAAAAAATACTATTTTAATGTTTCTTTGCATTTGATAAGATTGGTTTCTAAAAAAATTAATTACTTGGTATTCATATGTAAGATTTACAGTTTAATTCTATCGTGTTTTCGATTGTTTAAAAATTGGAATAATCATTAAAATTAAAATAGATAAACATTGGATAAAAGATATACTGTAACAAATATATGATTTATTCTAGTTCCCCCACTTTGTGGATCTGATAAATATGAGTTTCTCTCTATTAATAAACTAATAAAGATTATTATGCCTATTCATTTAATCACTAACTTCGTTTTAGTATTATAAATAGCCGACTTTTTAAATTATAATTTGTGGAACAAAAAGAGAAAATATAAAAAAATTAAGTAGAAACTCGGAGAAAATTAAAAATTTTATTGTTTCTATTTGCTCGTTCTTCAAATTTTATGACTAGTTTAATAGCTCAATGATTTTTATTAGTAGATTCAAAACATGCTCGTTAAATATTCAAGTCCTTGATTTCTTATATTCGTTGTGTGTTTAAATTAAATGATCTGTTGACATTTCAACGTAGTATTAAATATAATATTAAAACAAAAGCTTACGATTTGAAAATCGTCAACATATAAATATTGAAATTTTTCTTCGATAAAAATTGATTACTTCTAATAAATAGAATTTAATTTAAACCATCAATTCGTTCTATTTATATATATTTAATCACTGATTATATTCATTATCTTTTGTTATTGGGAAAACAATTTTACTATTAATAAATATTTTAGCAAACATTACTAATTCATTAACTACCAGTAACAAATCATAGCTAACCACATATTCTGTAAAATATCTTCAAAATTTCATAAACACACTGATTTAATATATCATAATAAACACTGAATACGTTGAAGTTTTGTGTTAACATTTACCAAATTTATTAATTTTTCACAAAAATATGAGCTAGATTCTTTTTCGAGAATATTTCTTTTTTTAAAATGAGATCGTTTTCATTTATTTAATTAATAAATATGAGCCGATTTCAAAATAAAAATATTTCCTCACACAAAAATAAATTCCATAAAGAGATCTATTTGAAATAAAATTCAGCTGACACTAATGATTAATCGTCGTCGTCGTTCTGTCTCGTCATTAGCTAGTTCTCCATCTTCTTTTTCGAACGACTCAGTGATTGTTACATATGTAGGTCGTCCATCCGGTAAATCGCACTAAATTAAGCAAAGGAAAATCTTTAGTTTTGTTTTTATGCTACAAAATAAAACTAACTATAAATCTGTATTGGCCGCCATAATCATAATAATAAAAATTTGCTTGATATGGTTCTAATGTAAAGTCTTTTTCTACTTTGGGCCAAACTTTGTAAACTTTGCTAGTGATTTCATCACGATACTAAAGATTAATCGAAATTACAAGAATGATTCACATTTTAGTATTATGAAAGAAGACAAATATCTAAATTTACTTTCTCGAACAGATCTCGAGGTTTTAAAGGCTTATATACTATTGGTGGATTGTGTGCAGGAACTGGTTCCTCAATTGTTTCACTGGAATTTTAAAAATAAATGATATTATGATTAAATAATAATTCCGAATAGCTTACGTATAACGAATGGGTAGTGGCTTCTTTTCTTCGTTTTGCTCGTCTGAGCTCATGGTGATTGTTATAATGATACCTGAGAGCGTATCTTTTGACTGTATATATATATATTAGTGCGCAATGAATCGTGTACGTCGATTCGAATACTCATTCATAAGAACCAAGGAGAGGTCTACAGACTCTTTTTTTTTATCATTAGAAATATTCACAGAATGAGCGAGAAAAAAATCAATGCATACGATCCATAGTAACAAGAAAAAGAAAAAGAAAAGATCGAATCATCGTTATAAAATTATCAAAACATAATTAGCCACAATAGATGAAACGATTTTAATATTCTATATATAACTTAAGTTAATTGTACAGAAGAATCTGATTAATATATTAGTTCATTGTTTTTTAGCGAAAAACTGTAGATATATAACAAATAACTGATTTTATTTATTTGTGCTGTTTAATCTATAAATAGATTTTTATAATAAATAGTAGATTCGAGCAAATTCTCTGAATTTTATAATCTCACAGGTCTCTTTCACGTATAAATATAGAAATAAAGTACTGATTCTGAAAATTGTAGGTTTGTTGTATCCGAATCTAATATGAAACATTTGTTTTTATTTTTAATAATCATTTAAAACTATGTTCATTGATTGTTTTTCTTTGATCGCATTGTAATGCTTCTCATCAATCTATTTTCTTTCACATAAACAAAAATGAACATCAAGATATAACAAAGATTGAACTACTAATACTTGAATTTTACATCGCTCCATTGAAAATATATGATGATTTAGTCACTAAAGTTAAAATGCTAACGTGATTGATTCATTAAAATCAAAGTCATACACAATATAGATTAAAATTATTAATAAGATAACTTCTATAATTTAACAAATAAATATATGATGAAATATTATAAAACTGTTCAGTGGCCGAGTCTACCTATCAATAGCGGTTCTTTTCTGCAGTAATATTCGAGTGGATCAAATGCTTTGACATTGAACATAATCCACTGTATTCGACAGACGTATACTATAGTATACAGTATTTAAATTCATCACCGTTTTTTTCCGTAAGATTACAATATGTTATGATCAATACGATGAGAAGATCGAATCGGATCTATTACGAAAAATTGTGAATTCGAAGAAATATTAAATATTTTTCAAGTAAACATAATGATATTCATCACTCTGAAAGCTTTATTCATGCGTAAAGATGCATTATTGAAGAATGATTTTGATTGATCGATTAATTATTTCGAAGTTCGAAAGTGATAGATTCCTTTCAAAATTGCCATTGTGAAATAATATTTATGAGCGAACGAAATGTCAGAAGTTTGATCGCCATTTCTCCATCTCCAATTTAAATGACGTGTCTCTGATTTTTCGGTTTTCAAGATCTTCGCGTCAGAAAATGACGGAAAAGATTCGTATGCATCAAGTAAAAAAAGAAAAAAAAATCCCCACGGACTACATTAATGCCATGCTTTGCATCGCATTAATTCAATTTTGGACTCAGTAGTGTTACAGATATCAAATCAATTTTTTATGACTGTTTGATGTATGTCAATTTCATTCTGAACACTACAGATAAAATTATTATCAACTATACTATAGGTGGAAGCAGTTGTCTGTTTTCATCTGACTGGCTCATATGCAGCTGACTATAAGACACGAGAAGAAACTAAACTGAAAATAAGCATTATCTTATAAAGAGTTTCATTACTATTGAAATGTATTGGATTCAGTGTACTGAAAATGGACCTCGTCGCGTGAATCATGCTGCAGGTGCATTAGATGATTTTATTTATTCTTTTGGTGGTTATTCCAATACAGAAGATTATACACGTGTTACAGCAATTGATATAAATGTGCTTAATATTCGTAAGATATTCTTTTAATTTAATATTTATTAAGTAGTTTATTTAGATACATTGAAATGGTATTTATTACCGAAACCTAAAATTATTGATCCACAATATAATTTAACACCTTTCTCACGATATGGACATACAATTGCTGTTTATAAACGAAAATTTTATTTGTGGGGTGGACGCAATGATCATCCTGTGGCGTGTAATCGTTTATTTTGTTTTGATCCTGGTGAGTATTTAAATTAAATTGAAAGTTTTTTAAACTTGATATTATCCATTAAGGATCTCGTCAATGGTCGATTGTATCGGTTGTTGGTGATTTTGTTCCAAGTCCTCGTGATGGCCATACTGCTTGCTGTATTAATGATCGAATGTATATTTTTGGTGGATTTGAGGATGATGTAAATTTATTGAAATTTTTTAAAAATCTTTATTCAATATTTGTTTTATTTTGTTTTTATTATTAGACTCAACAATTTTCTAATGATCTTTTTTATTTTGATTTCATTAAATCATCTTGGCATTCAAATCAAACAAAGGTCTTTGACTTCATTTTCTAGTGTTTATTTTTAAATCATAAAACTATTTGATTAAAGATCGGTGATGTTGTTCCTCAATGCCGTGATTTTCATTCAGCAACAGAATTAGATGGTCAAATGTATGTTTTCGGTGGACGATTTGATCGTATTGGACCTCAACAAACAACACAAAATATTTATGATGATCGTCTCTATGTTTTTAATCCCGACGATGCTTCATGGTCATTGATTACAGCAAATGGAGAAATACCATGTGGAAGAAGATCACATTCAGCTTGTTTGTTTTCATTTTTCGATATATTATATTTTATTATTATTTTAAATGTAATATTCTAGTTGTTCATCATGGAAAATTGTATATATTTGGTGGTTATAATAATGTAATGGGTTTACATTTTAATGATTTATATGAATTTAATCCACAAACATTATTATGGCGTCGTATAAAACCTCATGGTATTTCAAATCCTGTCCCTCGTCGACGACAATGTTGTCTTGTGATTGATGATCGAATGTATATGTTCGGTGGAACAAGTCCAATATCAACATCAACGTTTGCAAATCATTCACATGAAATACAAGATGCCGATGCTCGTAGAACAATACTTTATGATCAAAGTGATCTCTATGTATTGGATTTTGGTATGTAGAGATTTATCAGTTAAATATTCTCCAATAATATCTTGTTTTCTAGCTCCAACATTAAGAACATTATGTTTATTTTTACTTGCACAACGAAAAATCAATATTAATATTCTTCCGAAAAAATTTCATCAAGAATATCAACTATTTACACAATCAAATTTAATTCGACAGCGTTCAACAGGAGAAACTAGTGGATAATTTATGGAACAAACCAAAAATAAATAAGAGTTTTATTTTATTGTATATTGTTTTTAACAATGATTTTTTTCTAAAAACATTTTACTTTTTTTTATTTTAAATTGAAAATATAAATGTTTTCAAGTAGATTTGATAACAACCAGAGATTTACTGAAACTCTGAAATATGTTCAAATCGCTAAAAATATATTATCAAAATATCTCAACTAAAATTCTATGACATTTAATTAGGAAAATAATGTACTATTGAATTGATTGGTTTTTGAAATTGAAAGTTACTAATTTTTCAATATATTAAAAAAAGATTATTCTTTTCTTAACAAAATAATTCGACTTCGATATGATCAATAATAATACTGAGACAAATTCAATGCTTTTTCTGTAATCTATGATAAACTCGACAATTATCTTATAGTTTAAAATAAATCCAGTGTCAATATCATTAAATCCATTCAGGTGAAATATTTCAAAGAGATTTTTGCATTTGACTAACTTTTAAAACGATATCTACATTATTCTCTCAATCAAATATTTAAACATGTTAATCATATTAATTATATGTTGATCAATATAGAATTTCAAGATGGATTTCTATTGAAGCAATACACTAAAGATAATCAAATAAAATCGAATTCGATTCTTGTCTTATTTTTCATTTTATATCGATTGAACATTGAATGAGAAACAAAAATTTACTTTTTTTGAAAAGAATTTTCCAAATAAAAGCGAAAGTTTGATTGTTATTCATTTGTTCGTTACCGAATTCTTGCGGCATTCTTTTCATGAGCTCGTATATAAATATGGTAGAAATGCATAGAAATTTCTCGTTTGCGCTTCTAACTCTGATGTTTCATTCATTTAATCAATTTACGGTAATCAACTTGAAGAGTTCATGTCTATCGTTGGATTGAAATTTGAAACGGTTAGAACACCGATTGGATGGCAAACTATTAGCTATAATTTTATTGTAAATATATAGCAGGGAAGAAAATATTTATTAATTGACGTGAATGAAAAATATTAATCAATTTGAGTCATACATTAACTAAGCAGCAACTTTTCGTCCAAAAAGGAGCCGCTGTTCAAGTTCTCGTTCGGCCATCCAACGGTCAAAAAACCAATCCTAAATGTCGATTGCAAATATAATTTATCGATTATATAGACATGAGGAAAAAAATCTACTAACCTCTAAATCAAGAAAAAATTATTAATATTTCATTCTACACATATTAATTTAAGTTCATTAGGACGTGACATCTTTTTATTCCAATAATCTGAATTATTCATTTTGTTCAATAATAAAAAATGTCACAACTTCACAAATCTACTTACATTGATTTAAATATTCAAGTTGTTCATTGGTTAATTTCTGTTCCACCTGCTTGAATTCTAAATAAATCGAAAGTCTGAATATATACTTGTTCTTACAGAAAAAAACTATTTAATGAAATCCCGAGTCATAGCATTTTTTGCAAGCGCATGCAATTCTTGACTTTCTTGAGCAAGAAGTCAAGAACTATGGACACATCTTGAGGCAAGACATGAGGCCTTTCGATAAGCTCAAGTTCTTAAACTTCTTGCTCATGCCGCAGGATATTCTTACTCATGCGCTTGAATTTTTATCTAAGCGTTTCTGTTATTAAAGAAAATTTTCAATTTTATATTCAAAATAACTCAACTTATTATAAAAATTTATAGTTGCATTCTTTTTGTAACTCATGCAAACATTCAAGCGCTTGTCTTGAGCAAGAAAGTCAAGGACTATGGACACATCTTGAGCTCAAGTCTTGCAAGCGCATGAATAAAAATGTTTGACTAGGGATATAAACGAATCTAAAGTAAATCAATATTTCGAATACAGGAAGATTTATCTCTAATCGCTATCATGCATTTACGCTCATATAGAACAAAAATTCAATAATTTCATTCCAATTCAACTCTAATTTATTGATTACTTTAATGAAAAAAACTATCGTTCATTTGTATGCTAAACTTCATATTATAGACGAGACATTTCTCATCTGTCTTTAGTCCATTATCTATTATACATGAAATATTTTATCTTTCGTATATTATTTCAAGAACTGCTCATGAAAATTTTTTATTCACTGAAAGGACAAAAATAAAAGTCATTTTATTTCGATCACTTTTTACAGTAGAATAATTTTGACAAAACTAGATTAAATAACTTTAATTTCAATTTTTTACTCGAGACCACAATGCTACGGTTGATCAGTGACATGTCGCCTTGCTGTGATGAGCCTTTTTTCTATTAATGTTCAAATTAACAATCATCAAGACAGACAAACTGATAATAGAATGCTATACTCAATTCTATGTGTATGACTGCTAATTGAGAAATAATCACATGTCAGAAACGTGCTCTAGATTCATCCATTATTCAAATGAACTAATAATTGGATTTTTATCATTGCTAAGAAATAATCAACATAAATTGGTTAAATACCAATTGATACAAGCTTATATATTGTCATATCAGCTGTCAAAGTGACACAAAATGAAGAAAACATAAGTGTTCTTGTGCACATCTCAATATGATTCGAATCTGTAACAAGTTTCCTTTTGGAATTTGCCTTACTAACAAAATATTTATGAATAGACGGTTAATGTAGTTATTGAATTTTCCGTGGACACAAACCTGCGAGCGACAACTTAACCATACCTGCTATTTACAATAAGCTAATCAAAATAGGAGAAAAGAGCTTTTCTTTTTTTCTTATAACTTACTCAAAATCGATTCAGCAAGAAAATCCCAACACCAATTATTGTCCTCCATAAGAATGATGAAGAGTAATAATATTGAACGAATGAACTATATATACATTTTTATTGACGATTCTTATATGAACTTTTATACGTCGAGCATGTACAAAGAAAGAGGCATCTTCAAAATGGTACATGCCGGCCATTATTACATAAAATGAACGTAGAAGACGAGCATATTCTTTTCTCCACCAAAAGAAAAAGATCAAACAACAAAAAATATATCTATAGAGAAATACCGACAAGAAAAAACATCTTATGTAAAAATACAATGGAAAAAAATTAGTTGTAAGAGGTACCTTGTATGCGATACTATGGCTGTGTACGAAGCCGAAGTGAGTAGCTTAATTTGTAGCTAGGTATCTCAGTGTTCCGTTCTCTACCAAGGAGAACGTATATCATATTTCCATCATCTAGGCATTTGTAAAACGCATAGAAGCGTTTATACATTTGTGTTTGTCTTTTTATCTGAGGCTGTTGTGCATTACACGTTCTTCTAAGAACCGAACACAAAATTAATATCATCAAATTTGTTGACGCTTTACGTTATCATGATGGAAATGAACTTTTCTCTTACTTCAGTACTTTTTTATTCGACAACTTTTTCACGGTATTTTATATTTCGAATTTTTTTTCTTTCTTGTTCTTTTCCCATCATACTGATGAGATGGCATCGTCAAGAAATAAAACGAAGATCATGCATATGAACAGAAGAAGTAGATTGAGGTAATATATATTTTATATGCGGAATATGCATTGCTCATTAGTGGAAGTATTTCGATAGTTTTCAAACGTAATGCTTTAAAACAACGGGGCAAATGCGCGTCGATGTTGAGTGCACTATACAGAAAATCTGTTTTGAAGGATGATTAGAAAACAAGTTGCATGAAATGTAATTTCAATAAGATATATTCCTCGATGCATTTTATTTTCGGTAGAAGTCGGTTTCACGCGGATAAGAGAGCTATGCTACAGTAACATTGACAATAGTTTAATAAATTTAACTTGCAAATCAATACAAATAAACGATATCGTTGAATCAATCGTTTAGGTTTTAATTTAACATTTGGATATAATTTCATCGAAAGAATATAATACGATAAATAGTCTGTATTAAACATATATTCGAAAGATTAAGATTTAAGAATGAACATCATTCGAAGTGCGCTATTGAATCTCGAATACTACAACCATTAGATGACCCATCTAAATATGTGATTATAGCCCAGATGAATGAATCCGATGTTGTATCCCATCCGATCTGGTGGGATCCAACCAGCCGACAATATCCCATGAGATTCCTGGTTGAGGAATCAGTGACGGATCCGACAGTCGGATTTCGATGAATATCCAACGATATACGGCTGCAGTAACCGATGGGACTTCCGGCACTAGGATCCAAATAAGATTCCAGTCGGATCCTATCAGTCTCTTTGGAAATGGCTACACTCGTCTATATGGATCTCAAAACTTTGTTATCGGCCATACCACCGCTTAACTAATAAGATTCCTCCTAAGTTATTCCCAAAAAAAGCTTGTTAGCGCAGCCCCTTTGGAGCTAAAATGTGGAACTCACATATATCCCTTCGGCTTACTAAAATAATTCAAAATAGTTCATCTGAAAAATCTACCCTGATTTCCAAACCATATAATTAGGTCATTNTGCATGAAAAAATCGATTACTACATTTCTCAGAAACATACTTCCATTAAATAAAATCAATCACAGCAACTTCGCTTTCCAACACAAGAGCATTAGTCAGAAAAAATTGAACACTAGAATCCCAGTAATGCAACTGCTGCTAAAACAGCACTGATTCAAACTTGAAAAAAAAAGTTTTTGAAATTTTAGATAGAGTATTCCTGCTTAAATAGGGCTTAATTTAGTAAGCTATAATAATTATGAGATTTGTAAGTAGTTAAAAGGCGGTGTGTATGTGTTTTTATTTCGAGGCTGTGATACGTTCGGTAGAAATGCTTCTGTGTTGAATATGGAGTACAAGATATTTTCACCATTCCCGAGTGTTTCGAAGAAAATGAAGGCTCGTGATGTTGCTAGTTGGAAATGAAGCTGGTAAACGGAGGTAACATGTACAATTGTATAGACTTTTAAAATGCACATAATCTCCCGGTGTGACGTTCGAAGTAATCTTTTATGGTTTTGGATAAAACCTTAGCTAGTTTTTTTCCATGGCATGAAGGAGTAGTGACTTCAGGGAGATATCTCGTCAGGTTGCATGGTTCGTTTGGAAACTTTTTTATGTCTTTTTTGAAAAATCGTTAGACACGTACTTCAGGTGGAGACAGGGGAGAACCTTTTAGTTTTTCCGATTTCGCTGAAGTTGTTTTAATTATATTTGCCACTCAATTTCTTTATAGTGTATTAAATTGTGTACTCATCCTTTGGGTCTATTGTTCAAATTAGCAGCTGCAATATATTTTTTAATTTCTTATTCTTTAGATGTTGTGTGGACTACAATGGCATCGGCGAATAGTCTACATTAAAGTAAATTATCCGGTTTTTCAGTGGATCCTTCGAGATCCTGTTGGGCTTCAAGGGATCCGATAAGAACCAATTGTAGGAAATCTCTTGGGATTATTAGTGTTGGAACCTGACGTGCCCCATAGGAACATGGTAATATCTGGTAGGTTCTTATAGGAATTTCGTAGGACTGTCCGACCCATAGGATCCTACTGAGTTCGTCTATCGGAAAATATAGGGTTATCATCGGTTTCCCACTCTCGGGCACGAAAAGTTCATGATAACTGTTCCCCATCGGATGCGTGAAGTAAATTTCCGTCGGATTCCGACACTGAGGATCCGACTGTAGGTCCTGAACCAGGATTCCGATGAAATCCTTATAGGCCCAGGTCGAGCATTACGGCTACCAGAAACGGTCGTATACGGCCGTAAACGTTAACGGATACCAGAGATGGGCAAGTCAGCGTTTTCTCGACTCAAGTCAAGTCAAGTCAGTTTCTGAAAATTTCAAGTCAAGTCAAGTCAATTTAAGTCATAATTCATTCAAAAAATCATCAGGTGAAGTCATTTTTTGACTTGACTTGCCCATCTTTGATTTATTATTTGTATTTTTCTTCTACATTTCAAATTAGAGTTCAAAAATTCAATTAATAAAAGTTCTCTATACATATAATTTTTGACTTGACTTGAATTTCTCTGTACGACTTGTTGCAAGTCAAGTCAAGTCATTCTGAAAATTTTCAAGTCAAGTCATGACCCATCACTGGCTTGACCCGATTCAAGTCATTTTTTTACTTGACTTGCCCATCTCTGACGCATACTGCCGTTTCCTGCCGTTTCTCACCGTAAATGGCCGTAACTTGACGTTTTGGTATGCACCGTATTACGGCCATAATTAATCGTGTCGTAAACAGTTACTAACGACCGTAATGTGGTCGGATATTTTCGTATATGATCGTTTATGGGACGATACAAAACGACCGTAATACGGTGCATACCACACGGCCGTGTACGACACAAGTTGATCGACATGGGGATTCTATTGAAATCCGATGGGATCATACAAGAACTCTATCGGATCTGATCGCATCTTGTCTTATTCTATTGTCGGATTGAATCTAATGGGTTGAAAGTAAATTTAAAAAATCCGGTGGCACTTGTGCAAAAGTTAAATGTAAAGACAAATCAATGACAATGAATGATTTAATTCCAATTACTGAACGAATCGTTTTAAATATGCTCGACCGGCTTCCTGTCAAATGTACTGTTCGTGGAACAATGAATATTCAACGTGGTTCTTTTGAACAGCACGTCGCAAAATTTTGTTCGAAATTAAACGTCAACTGTCCAGCAGCTGATCTTAAATGTCCATGGAGTGGATCGAATGGTCAATTACAGCAACATATATCAATATGTGCTTTTGAACAAATGCGTCCAATGGTTGCAGACATCATAAAAAATAAGCACCAATTAAAAGAACAAATTCAAAAAATGTCTGAATAATGTTATAAAAATAATTCATCATATATAAAAGAATTACAAGAAACAAATCAATGTTTGAATGCTCATGTCGAACAATTGAATGAAGCTCTATATCATGAAAAAATAAGATTAAAAGATTT